CGCTTTAAGCGATAACTAATATATTTAAATACATGTGAACACATTGTTACCGAACGTGATTTGGTCAGTAGAGAGGGTCGGCAAGGGGTATTTTCGTAAGCTGTAATCATTTGTTTTTATTTTCGTAATCATGTAATTTAAATAAATAAAAAACGTAAATTCATAGACATGGGCAAGGTGTAAAACGTAATAACCTGTTTTATTAATCCGTAATTTGTACAAAGATCTTATTTTTTGTAAGCGTATAAAGCATTTTCCACATTAAATGTCGTAATTCGTACGCAATTTTCGATTTTGATTCTCAAACACGAATTATCAAATATATTATAAATATGTAAAATGGAATTTGCTTTATCTGTAAAGTGTAAAAAACTATTTTTTACTGTAAATGAAACTTTCATTTTATTTCCTGTAAAAACGTAAAATGTTTTTTTTTTGTTTTTTATTTTCTGTAACCTGTACCAGCTATTCCCCCTTGTCCCTCCTTCAGTAGAAATGGTTGGTATTCGGGTAGAGTCAAAATGTTATTTTCAATGTTCGTTTCAACGTAAAACGAACAATACACACAAATTGGAAGGATCGTACGAACCCAGTGCATTCGCCCCTAGTTGACGTAAGGTAAGGTACTCGTGGTCGAGCAATCGTTCAAATATTGATTCGTAAACAGGATTCGTCATATCTCAACATGTTGTTCGAGTACATATGATGCAAACAATTATATTTAGTTATAAGATGGATACTCGTAGTTGTCCCAAATTATTAGAAAATATTTGTTATGAAATATACTATACCCAAAAAACTGTTTTCATGCAGTTTTTCTGTCAAAAAAATGTCTTGTACTGTGTGAAACAGTTCAACAATTGATTCTTGTGCCTTATCAACAATTATGTAACAATTATGTAAACAAACAAATAACGATTTCTTCGCTTTTACTTGATCCGTGGAATACCAGCAACGACCACTGTCATTGTAAAACCTTCTTTGCACGTCGCTGATCTTTGTTGTTGTCGTATGGAATAGTTACGACATATATATATATTTCCCTATACTGCCTGATGAAACATTCACTCAGCACTCCTTTCACTAAACCATACGAATAACCTTGGACTATAAATTACGCATGGTTTGGGTGTTGTGTTTATTTGACATTTGTGTCTTATCGGGCAAACGTTTACTTAGTGAAAATTTTATGACACAAATACTTCACCTTTGATTAATCTGTCAGTTTTTTGAAAGAGAACGGGCGTTACAAGATGGCGGAAACTGCACATAACGCTTCGTCACAGGCGCGACAGAGAAAGAATGCAAGTACGGATCTACACGACGAGCAGGATGGTCAGGAGAGAGAACCATTACAAATAAAGAAACTATTATCACTTGCCGACGGAACACTTCTAATAATAGGAATGATTATTGGATCTGGTATTTTTATTTCACCAAAGGGCGTTCTTTCATATTCTGGTTCTGTGGGTGCAGCCCTTATAATTTGGGCTGCATGTGGAATCTTCTCTATGTTAGGTGCGCTCTGTATGGCTGAGTTGGGAACTACCATTCCCAAATTTGGTGGCGAATACATCTACATCCATGAAGCGTTTGGGGCGTTACCAGCGTTTCTGTATCTTTGGGTGTTGATGGTCATATTGAAACCGACTACCCAGGCCATTATTATGCTAACCTTTGCCGAGTACGTAGTTTATCCTGTATTCATTGAATGTGATGAAACGTCACTGCTGACTAAAAGACTCTTAGCTGTAGCAGGTATACGTAAGTGATCAGATAAATTATTATAATGTTCATCGCGTTCTACATTTGTGCTAACAAAAACGTATCTATAATGTTTTCATCTTAATTTTATTTATTTATTTATTTATTTATTTATTTATTTATTTATTTATTTATTTATTTATTTATTTATTTATAGTTTTTCTAACTTTTGTGAATGTTCTTAGCGTACGTTGGAGTGCTCATCTGACCAACATTCTATCGTATTCAAAGTTGCTGGCTACCTTCATAATCATTATCACTGGAGTGTATTACTTGGCAAAAGGTGAGATCAACTATACAACACCACAGTAAATATGCAAATAGTAATAACTTAACTACTGTGAATACAGTACACAACTCAAAGCAATCAGAGTTCACAGACCTCCGCCAAGCAGCTCATTGCCATACATATTCTGACACCTCCAACTTATTATATCTCTATTACTTCAATTGCTATTTCCATGGCAACGCGATGGGTATCTCTCCCAATATTAATATTTAATTGCATTAGGCATCCTCTACTGTAAAACTTGTGAAAATCTATTCATGAGTGTTTTATAAATGTCTCCAATCTCTACCAAAATCAAACCTAATGATTCTTATCAAGGACGGCTTCTTCTGAAAATTGTATTTGAATCCATCCATCCATATGTTTTTAAATTATGAATGAAAAATTGTTCCTGAAATTACTGTTTCCATGTCGACCGGGTAAAATCTCTACCAACGTTTAACGTTTTGATTATTGCCTCAAAGGCAATCCCACCTAATCGATTGCTCCCCGTGTTCATGGCACCCCTCCTGATAATTTTATGAGAATTTATCACTAACATTTTGAGTTGTAAATAAAAGAACCTTCCCAGCATTGCTGTAACTATACCTAAATCTGTACCAAAATATAATGGATTCGTGCTTATATCAAGGACATCCCCTCCTAGAAATTTTACGAGAATCCATTTCTAACGTTTTTAATTAGCTAAAAACTAATGCTACGGAAAACATAGTCTCCTTGGATGCAGAACTAACAAAAATCACTGTACAGTTATAAAACCAATTATAAAGGATACATGGAAGGAAATTCTCGCATATTTATTTTCCATTTAAGATATTCTCTAGACCTTTAACTATAACTTACTGAATGAATATGTAAATGTAGTAATATTGGACAATTGACTGTGCGTGCGTATGTCAATCCGTTGTTGGCTCAACAGACTATATACCGGCTGTTCGCGACTTGTCCCATACGTTAATGTTATTTTTATGTTGGCATCATTCATCAATCATTACTCATATGTCTACAACTACTTTTTAAGTTATTGCACTAACGAAGTGTGTCCCACATTTTATTCATCAACGTAGTTGCACTCAATTTATTGTCTGTGGTATTGCCGCTATTTTGCAAAGGCAACCCTGATACACACATATAAAATAGATGTGACAGTTCCAGTAATGTAGTACTAATGAACGCCGAGCAACGGTTCCGATCTCAAAAAGTTTTTATTTTCGTACTTTCGCATCATAATACCCAACGAATAAATACACGATATGTGCTAGATGAATGATAACGTATCTAGAAGGTAGAATTTATTAAACTTTATATAAAGCAAAAAACTGTTTGATGAATACCATAGAGTGGTAGATGGACAGCATGGCATCCACGCAAATTATAACATCAATGAGTTGTAATGGTTGTACTTGTACAGGATACACGGACAATTTTGAGGACAGTTTTGCAGGAACCACCAAGTCTGTAGGTGACATTGCATTGGCGATGTATTCTGGTTTATGGGCCTACTCCGGATGGTAAGTCATTTGATTGATAACATAGAACAGATACACCATATAGTCTGATCCATCGGCATATATTATATAACATAATATAAGGTTATTACGAGGCTACCTCAAAGTATGCACGAAGATAGTACAGCGGAGTATGCGCGTCGGTCGATGCGACGGTGTACAGTCTGTGTGCATACGTTGAGGTATCCTCGTAATAACCTTATTATTATACATTTTGTTCCTTCCAAGAGTACAACCCTAAAAGATCATTGTTTATCTCGGCCTCACTTCGACTTGGCCAAGATCAACATTTGTTTAATACAATATAATTTTCCGTCTTCAATTTGTTTTCAAGGAATGTTCTCAATAATGTTACGGAAGAAATGAAGAATATTAAAAGGTACATTCCATTAAGTTCCACGGTACAAGTATTGAAGTGTTTTCGTCCATTGGTTCAAAGACACTTAGTATAGTCTTCAAGTCTATATCTCAACTGGACAAATTAAGATCAAATTTTTGGAACTCAGATGTCGATTTCACAGTACTTTAATTGTGTTTTTGAATTTTGGATTTAAAAAAACGTTATCTTAAATAAACACCTTACGACAAAGTAAGGTGAAATGACCCACATACACAAACTGTTTATATGCAATTGTTATAACCAATTTGATGGTACAAAATTTGAACTTATGCAAATCGTTAAATATATATTTTTACTATGTTTGTTGGTGTGTTATAGTTTGTAACTTGGTAGAATTTTTGAACAGTTTGACACCAAGTCTGAATATTCATACATACCATTAAACCTGCGCTAATAATAGTTATTCTTGTTTTCCCAATAATAGAAACCTACCGTTGGCTATTGTCCTGGCCGTGTCTATTGTAACTTGCATTTATCTATTGACAAATGTTGCATATTTCACCGTACTTTCCCCTCAAGAATTGCTGAGATCAGATGCAGTAGCCGTAGTATGTTGTAGTTGTATTTCTGAATTCATAATTGATAATTATAGTATTGTTCATAGAATGAAACTTTCACACAGCACGTGTAACTGATTGTTGGACAGCTTGGTATACACTTGAATTATAACAATAATGAACACAATGTACCAATAATTTGTTATATTCTAAAAGAATCGAAATTACATATAAGAACATGTAAACATTGATCACGAGAGTTGAGACAAATGCTCCACGCTACTGTCAATTACATTGCTTACCCATCTACGCCAGTTTGACTTCACACATTGGGTTTTTCACTCGAGTGCGCAACCTCTTGGAAAAGTTTATTGAAATGCTAAAGTTGTCTCTTTCATTCACAGACGTTTGCCCAAAAGACTCTCGGTGTGATGGCTTGGGTAATGCCGCTCTTTGTTGCTTTGTCTACATTGGGGGCAGCCAATGCGTCCATCTTTACTGCCGGGAGGTTTGTAATATTGACTAATCACATGATCACGGTTGACTTTGTGATTTTTAAATTAGGAACGACATATGTCAATGTAAGTGAATTTAATTACGAATGTATGTGATTTTAGGGTTTATTTTTCTGGTGCAAGAGAGGGTCAATTGCCAGATGTTGTTGCTATGATACACATAAGAAGACGTACGCCAGTTCCAGCCATTCTTATCAATGTATGTATACGATATACTTTATGTGGATATTATTGTGGGTGCCTGTTGTTTAATGAAAGCAATTGGAATAACGTGAGCCTTTATATAATTTGTGTATACACATTCATTATTGGGGGGGGGGGATAAAATAATTGAAAGACAATGGTGTGACCATCATATTGATAATGCGAACATGTTGTCTTGACCAATCATTGAATACTGTGCCATCATAAAATCAAGCAGTTGAAACGAATAGCAATTGCTTGCTATGACAAAAACAAAACCGTATGTTTTTTTAAATATTTTTTAGTGTGTGGTTGCTCTAATAATGGTGCAGATCAGCGACATAGACACACTTACAACCTACTTTAGTTTTATAAGTTGGTTGGTAACCGGGATTGCAGTAGCTGGTCTTATAACCCTACGCTGGACGAAACCTAATCTCCCCCGTCCTATCAAGGTAATCACGTGATATTTATATTGTTATATATGGGTAATTAGCATCGAGTATTATATAAATATATATGTAACAAAAAATGTTTTTGTATGTCTGATTATGTAATTTTTATCTAAATTCGCAGCTTCCTATATTTATTCCGGCTTTGTTTGTCGTCATGTCTTTGTTTCTGGTAATAGTGCCTTTCTACACGCGACCGATTGTGTCAAGTATTGGTGTGGGTCTAACGCTCACTGGTGTTCCACTTTACTTTCTGGGTGTACTTTATAAAAGAAAAAGGATGCGACTCTTGTCAAATATACTTGGTAAGTGACAGTATCACTGTTTTTTTTTTCTATCTATAGTTTCTTATTATTCTGCCAGTTTTAATTCACCTAATATCATTCCTTTTCTTGTCTTTAGGGTCAATTACTTGGTTATCTCAGGTGTTTTTGGAAGTTTCAATCACGGACGCCAGAACATGAAGACAAGATACGTAATCGTAATCGACTTATTCACCTTCATATATCAACACCCATACACACATGAACTCAGTACTGATATCGATAATATGCCATAAATATAAGATTATTTCATATGTATCACTATCTCAAATAAAATAAAATGTATGGTGGTAAAACATGGGTCATTTACCTGTTTGAATGACTGCTCAACATCTGGTAATAATATTTTTCTGCTTTAAATTGGTAGCCTCAGACATTCCACCTAGGTGTGTTTTCCAGTTGCCAGTGTACTGGTTTTAAAATTCACTTCATCTGTGAAGACCACTGATAAAATTACCTTCAAGTTAATGAAATGTTTTTTAGCCTATTTGAAAAACCAGTAATCCTTGATCATGTGCAAGCACTTTAACAGTATTCAAATTCACAAATTGCTGCGAAAATGTATGTTTGATACTTACAGACAAGTTCAATAAATTCGGTCCAATAACCACACATTAGAGATTATGGCATGCAATCACATATGCAGAAAAAAATGTGGCAAAAAAGTGTAAAACTTGAACAAAGACATCTGTAGGGTCTGATCCAACTGCTTCACATGTCCGTAATATAGCCTCCAAGAAGGTCCCATATTTTGTTTAATAGCGGTAGCTTAAGATACTTTGTGTGAAACAAATAGTTGAAGAAATTCACTATGGGGAAGATGGAACCAACCGTCTCTCACCACTCCATCGTTTCCATATACATTCATAGAGTGCAGAGTAGATTCCTATTGCATACTGCCAATTGCTGGAGAGCTTTCATGAATTTAATTAGAACAGACTCATAGAGTGCTCTCGGCAGTTTGGTGTGGCTGTAGTGACATCCAGAAGTTATACAAGTTTTGCTACCACAAGTGGCAGGAGAAGTGAAAACCATTGTCTCACTGGCCATATCGGGATCATTGCCTATCATTAGGCTGTTTATAGGTGGTACAATTAACTACTTTTTAGTACTGTGGGATGGGAATGGTGTAAACTCACACATGTTCAAATGAATGTCAATGTTATGTCTGTGGCACATGTACAAGGTCTATTTAATATGGATGGAGCAAACAGATCTATCAGTGACTCTTTTGTTGTTATCCTGGAAGTGGACTAGCACTCCCTTTGCGACAAACATCTGCAATATGATCATGTGACATTTTGCTTCCCATGAAGTGTCATCCCATCACTACCATTTCAATGTCCATGAGGTTGGCCCGTCATAATTTTGAGACATCCATGATCAGGGATATAGAAGATAAATCACTGCAATCTACAACATAGGTTTATTAAGTCAGTCTGTCATTCATGTTACATGTAACCATTTGTTGACCATGGAAATATGCAAGTAACAGCAGACAGGTTGCCTATCGCCCATTTTGCCAAAAAGTGTTTATATTGCTGTATTTTCTAGTAGTGTATTTATTGGAATGAAATGACATCCAGTGGGAAACAGC